CTGACTCGAGTCCAGCTCTGCTACAAGCGTCTGTGGTGTTGACGTACTCGTTCCAAAATACCCGGAGAGACATAATTGAGTCAGACTTTTCATACTTTTTTATCTTGTTGGTTGTTTTGTATGTTTTTCACCCCTCATGCCGTCAGAGGGACAGAATGTGAGAAAAGTCTGTGTCACTGAACTTCTGTCTCCTTCCCTCCTGCAGTACTCCAAACAGGTGGACTCCAGGTTTGGGGCTTATGTGGCCTGCGCCTCCCTCGTCTTTCTCTTCATCTGCTTCATCCAGATTGTCATCGTGCCACCGTGAGTCAACACTTGGAAATAATACACAGACAGGACCGTGGAAGTTTGAGATTTACTTCGCAACTTTGAAAAGTTTACTCTGATTACAGTTTAAACAATTGTAGCTCAAATGTAAGAAATAAATAAGCAGTGCAGAGTACACAAAGTGAGTTTAAACGGCCACACGATTCATTTATATATTAAAATCAGACAAACTTTTAGGACTAGAACTTTGGAGAGAGAGCACTTCTTACTAAAGGTTTTTCTTAATATACATAAAAGATAATGTGGGGGTGGGACGGGGTAATCAATATTCCTTTTGGTCTAAATGCAGTTTTTAATAATGCAGCACAATTTTAATATTCATTGCAAAGTATTTTGTGAACTTCATGGCCATGGGCTTTGGACCCCCGGCGTCTCCAAGGCCTAGTTTGAGAACTACTGCTTTACACAATCAAAATTGGGTAGGTCAACATTTGCCACTTTATTAGGTACACCTGTTCAGCTGCTTGTTAATGCAAATATCTCATCATCCAATCAGCATTTAGGCATTTAGACACGGTCAAGACGACCTGCTGAACTTCAAAGAAGCATCAAATGGGGATAAAAGGTGGCTCCGAATGTTGCTGGTCTGAGTATTTCAGAATCTGCTAACACAGGATGCTTTGAAAATAGAGAAATTATCCAGTGAGCCGAAGTTCTCTGGGAGAACTTGACGCCAGGGGCCAGAGGAGAATGGTAAGCTGATATTAAGGCTTAAATAACCAGTCGTTAAAACCAAGAAGCATCACTAAACTCACAGCACATTAAAACTAAAAGCAGATGGACTGTAAATTTAGAGACCACACAATGTGCCACTCCTGTTAGCTGAGTGCAAGAAACTGAGGCCGGAGTTCCCGCAGGCTTACCGAAGAAAACTGGAAAAGTGCTTCCTGGTATGATGAGTCTCAGTTTCTGCTGGAACATCAAATTTGGTGTTAACATGATCTGTGCTGTGCTGCATCATCAGTTCAGGCTGATAGTGATGAAGAATTAAGGCAGTCTGAAGTCGAAAGGGGGTCCAACCTGGTACTAGCAAGGTGCACCTAATAAAGTGGCCAGTGGGTGTGTATATAAGAAGTTGCTCCAAGTTGAAACTGAATTGCTTGGTCTTCTAAATAGTACTCCCAAAATATACTCCCAAGGTATAATCCCAAAAGCTGTCTTTATTAGGCAAATATAACAATCTGCTTATATTTCATAAACACTAATACGTGTTTTAATAAATTGTTTAGAAACTATGTCTTTGTTAGCGGTCAGTGTGTGCGTTCAGGCTTTGGAGCCTTACAAAACTCGGCACCGCTTTAGTCTTAATGCTGTCTACTCCAAGTTCTCTTCCAAATTCTTCAGCCTTTATCCGTATAACAGGACTTATAAAGATGAATCACTGAAGAGACGAGTAATAAAAGATGATGAGTAATAAAAAAGAATATCAGATCAAAATCAGCATAATTGCACCCGAGCAGTGGCCAGATTTTAAAGCTGTCAGATTTTGTCTCAAAGCGAGCCCTCCTTTCTCTCTTCTTTTTTTGCAAACTGCACTCCGAGGTTTCTCCCTGCCCATCTCTTAGTATTGATCTTCTTTAGCCTGCCTCTTTATTAACCTTTCTCCTCAGTACTTTCATCTCACCACTCCCCTCTTGTCTTTTAATCCTGTCCTTAAAGTCCCACATAGGCTGCCTCCTCACATCTCATGTCCCTTGTTATTTAATCTATTTTTATAATCGCTTCTACCCTCTTAATGCTTCTTCTCTTTGGAGTTATTCATTCCCGTCACACCCACGAGTAAGATGTTTACTTCCACAGTATTTAGCACAAGGTTGTAAACTATAAAGAGAAAGTGTTAACTTATCAGATGCCACACTGACTGTGAATTGCAGAGTAATAAATATTGCAGTAGATATATAATCACATCCAATCTCTTTGTTGTCTGCAGCTCCAGACTGATGATCGGCTTCTTCATCACCTGTCTCATTATCCTGACGGCTGTTATGTTCGTCTCAGCTGTGTACTGCTGTTTTGGGGTGAGAAGTCTATGCTTGCAATCAATGACACAGAGAAACTCAGAGCTGTACTCAGATTTGTTGCAGATATAAGGCATTCGGCAAAGTGATAACCAATACAAGCGATTATAGATGCTTTTATGAGAATGTTATCCCGTAAGACAGCTGCCTTGTTTCAGCTCAGTTCAGCGTAAGACATCGTTCAGACAAATCTAAATGTTTTATCGGGCTGTGGTTTGGATGCTGTACTTGTTATGAATTGTGGTCAGAGAATCCTTCATCTAGAAAATGATAGATATTCTCCTCAAAGGAAGTTCTTTTTGATCAGAATCTGTTACATTTTTACAACAGACTCCCTCGGTGCGTATCTATTATATGAATTAAAAACTGTTAAGTTTCCCTCATGTTTATGTGAGTCTTTGAGAAAAGCTGCTCCATCTCATATTTACTTTATCTGACATAATTCAGGATACGTTTCATGTTTCTGTAGTTTGTCTGTATTCTTGCACAAGATTATTCACAGGATGGAGCCTTTGTTCAACTTTGTTCTATAAAACTTTATGCGTATTAGCCTAAGGTTACTCGACTATAAACGTCAACAGCAACAACATAAACTGTCAGCAGTCTCTGCTGTCAATTTGAGCAATATTTAAAGGTGCAATTATTGTTTTTTGAGTTACAAAAATGATTGTACTCATAGATAAACATTAATTAGTGGGTGCAACATGCAATATGTAATTCCAACAAACTGATGCATTCTCATAAACTTAGAATTAGTCCATTAAAATAAATGGGCAGGCTCCAATTTGTGGAAGCTGCTATGTTGCCTCGCTGTCTTCAACACAGTTGCCGAAACGGACATCTCGGTTCCACCAAATCAGGTTTTATTTATTCGGCTAGAGACCAGCCACATATGTAGTTTGCCAAAGGCGAGGAAAAGAGAACTCATAGAAATTCATTAGAAGGCAAATGTTAATTCATACCTGGACCTTCAGGCTCAAGATATGAAGGCTCATGCTTACAGTATGTGAAGTTGAACATGAAGGAAAGAGACAGCATGACTGGCATCTTAATAAAACATCATCCTCTCCCTCCTAACTGCTACCCTCATCCCCTGAACTGAAAACAGAGCTCTAACTCATGACTGTCGCACTTACTTGTTCCGATCCTCTCATCTACACACAGCTGACAATGAGCCACCTGAACAACAGCAGCTGGTTTTAAGCTAACATTATACAAGCTAATGTTCGGCTTGAGTGTCCTAAAAATCCCACTTTCCCTCTCATGACAGCCGAATTACAGCCACACATTGGCTAACAGCAGCTAACAGAGGCT